CAGGAGCCTAGGACTTCGGCGAGTTGCCTCGATTAAAATTCTGAAGTCTTTTTTGTTCCGTGGAAAAAACAGTCTTCATAATCTCGCCGTTCTGGAGTACATTTATGGATCATTCACTAGACCCACAGTACCCTTATCTGTCCATTACTGCGCCCTTTAAACTAGTCGGCTAGCTATGCGAGCACCTTTTAACGAGCACTAGATAACCTTATTTGTGCCGCAGCCGACGACGGGGTGTTTTCTGGGGGTCTCAGCACTTACTGGTTTTCTTCTCCTACATCAATTAACAACTATAAATGGATTATTGTTTAGGAAAAATCGATAGAATGAGTGAAGTTCTGTTGAGAATTGGGGAGTGTACAAGGCGAATCAGAGATGACCATCTAATAGAAAGTTCTAGAGCATCAAAAATATAATATTACCTTGATCTTTTACCTCTTACGCGATTTGTCTTCAAACATCCCTCCATGTTTGCATAATCATAACCTTTTCAACGTTGTTGCTTCTCTTGCTATCCACTGTTGGCCGTGTAACTGCAAAATCGGGTTACAACACCAAAAATATTAGGGTTATAAAATTTAATAATGACTTCTGATCTGATTTTTAGTTTTGGTGCCTATAGACGGGCCTCGACGGTTCCGCAGTTGCAGTTGTGCTTGACCATTCGTGCACAGTGTACGCCATACCGAGGGAAATAAATAGCTCAAAATAGTACGATTCTGAGGAAGGAACAATGTAAGGGGGGTAGACAAGAAAGCGCTCAAACTCTTGGCGAGGATGCGCCTTATCGTGAGCTACCAAGGAAGGTCTTTCAGGGTGTGCCAAGCTTTTTGAAAACGGTCTTTTGCATGATATAGGGGCACATGCGGGAACCACAGAACCATGGTTAATTTTTCCTGAACGGCCCTCTGAATACCAGAAAAGGGGGTCCCACCTTTTTCACCAGTTTTTCAATCAAAGTCTATTTGTAAGGGTTACTGACGGTCCTAATCATGAATTTGGTACTAATTATTCATGCTAACTCCATTTTGCGCGAATTTTGAAACGTCAACTCGAAATGCAAAAATTTGTCACCACGAGGAATCGAACTAGGGACCCCTTTTCTGGTATTCAGAGGGCCGTTCAGGAAAAATGAACCATGCTTCTGTGGTCCCCATATGTGCCCCAATGTCATGCATTTTGAAAAAGCTTGGCACACCCTGAACGACCTCCCTTGTGAGTGTTTTGGGTTCAGAAAAGAAGTTAGGAAGTTTTAACAGTTGCAAAATTGGGGGAGGTGAGAATTTTGGGAAGGTATGACAGTGGAATTAAAATGTAGGATCTCGTTGACCTCCAATTACCCTTGTGAAGATCCTTCGAAAACGCAGCGCAATTGCCTCGCGTCTGTTCTGTATCTTCATCACGTAGGTAAAAGATTTAGGTTTTGAGGTTCAGAAACGGAGCTGAAAAATTTACCACCTACATCTAACCGTTATACATCAAACATTTAAACTTTATTTTCATGTTGACTGCTGTAATTGTATGAGTGGACGTGTTTGCATTTACTACACAATTATGATGATGTATACCGATCTACTATTTTTTTTCTTCGATGCTTGATTGTTTTTTGATAACTTAATTAAGAGCAGTGTTATCACCGCATCTTTGTGCAGTGAATAAACAAACAAGCAATGAACAAATTAAAAATTAAATGCTGCGGGAGATTGTTTGTTCTCGGATAGAAGGTTGTGTTTTCAACGGTTTCTGTGCGAAACAAGAAAAATAAATTTCAATCAGGAAAATTTTTGTGGGAAGGTGAAAGATGGTTCGCTTCGCGTTTGGTTAGAGGATCCGCCGTATTTTTAATAGAACCATTAATTGTCAGACTAATATTGTAGTGCTCAGATGGATCATTTCAGGTGAAAGCTGACTGTTCGTCAATCCTCGAAGAGTTTGGTATCTCATGGCCGGAGCCGCTGGATTGCAGCCGCTTCCCACAAGAGCCCGACCTGTGCATGAATCCGGATGAGGACCGACACAGCTACGAAAAGACGTATGTCACAGCGTTAATCGTGTTTTGCGTTGCTGAGTGCGAGTACAGTAAAGTTGTAGCACAACGTGAGGACGGGTTTACGCCTTCAGTCGTCTTCAGCAGCTCGGTAGAACGGAAATGAGCACATAAACTCTGCTATGTTGAAATAACTCTAAGTTTAGACTCTGCGCAGCGCGTAGACAACGCTGTTTCTCAGCGTATCTAGCCAAGTCCTAGATGGGCTCCGACCGTGCCAACCAAATCTTCCATACCGGGTTGGATGGCTGTAGCTTGACACGTCTGGGGAGAAGGGAAAAGGTTGTGGATTTGAACCCCATCTACTGCTGCAGTCTATACAAACCAAATGCGACTCAATAGCCGCAATCGTTTAAGTAAGGTCAACTAAACACGAATGCTTCGCAATTCCGAAGAATTTGTGGTGAAGCTTTGGAAATTTCCATTTTGCTTACATTGTACTGGATTTGAGATGCCGGGATGGCTTCAACTGGTAATCTAACGGGCTAGTATCTTAGTTAAAAGCATTACGCCATCAAAAATACCCGGAATAAGTTTCATGGTAGACCTTTTCAATCAAGGCAAATCCCGCAAGTAATAGATGCTGGTTATGGTGCCTGAAAACGAGGCGTAGAGTGAGGTGCATTTTGTCTACGTTGTGATAAAAAAAATTCGAGCAAAAAGTAGCGCAAAAGAATCTAAAAATTCGATTAGCGTGAATCGAGATGGGTGCGGCTTTGGCCACGAAACAAAGGAGAGAATTTATTACGGGTTTATTTATCTATTCTCTGTTACTGGAGTTTTCCGGATTGAGATCAAGGGCCAACCAATGAGACTCCAGCAAGGTGGGGGGGGGGGAGCTTCTATGGGAACAGCGCGCAATAGCAATATGATTTTAACAGTTCTTAACACTTTTTTTTGTTATTTTTGCGGGACTAATTTTTATAAGTACTTTAATTTGTAAGCGTGATAGGCTGTACCTGCTCATGTGTAAATGTGCCTTTGAATGCCCCGTAAAGTTAAAATATCTGCGAATTTATAGGATTTTCAAGTTTCTTACATCGGAGCTACCTTTGCAATTAATCAGATCACTGGCTCAGTAGCAGACGCTGGTACAGTCGTCATTTCGTCTCCGACCATCGTCACTTTCCTGTCCACACGATTTGCTGGACATCGACCCATTGGACAACGAAGGAGTCTGTGCCTACAAATGTGGAGCCGATGTTATGTTCAGCAGCGAGAAAAAGTAGGGTTTTCGAGATTTCTGTGAAAAAAATAGAAGGTCCGTAGAATTTGAAACAGGGATGATTTTAAATGGCTGCATCTCACCATAAACAAGAATAGGCCCCAATTTGTTCTTTGTTTATTTATTGGCTAATCATAACGTATTACATAGTGGGCCAGCGGGTTGGCACTCGTACCCAACTGAGGATTACTCGAATTTAACTAATATTATCCCATTATCCAAGTTATTATTGCTAATTGAATGATTTATCTATTTACTGAGTTCAGTTGATATTATTATGAAATACCATTAATTCTTATTTTGTTCCCAATTTTGTCAGTAAGGTAGGAAATTTAGCCGAGAAATTTAAAATACAAGCTTCGATTCTACACGCTAGGACATAGTGACAAGAGCCAGGTTTTTCCACTTCAAGGGCAGTTACGGATTATTCCAAATTGTCAAAAAAGTGTGCAGTACCTAAAAGTACAACACAATTCAAGAACATCTTGCGGCGTTATCTGAAATGAGGACATTTTATGACCTAATCGGCAGGGAGGTTTTCTTATCTCGTTTTTCCTACCTCATACATATTATCCGTTTTATCCGCAATTTATTCTGTCGCTAGCCTTTATTTTTAACTATTTCAAGTACTCGGGTGCTACCTGAAGCACCAGTTTGATCGTTTTTTTTTCGTTGGCTTTGAAGTTGTGTTCCTCATGTGCCTGACACATGCAATAAATAAATAAATAAATAAATAAACTGACTAATATGAGATCTAACATAAATTTATTCGCATCCAATGTGACGATCATTCGCTATCTGAACTAGAATCGGAGCCTCTGGCCCATATCCGATGTTACTTGCCAGACGGGAACGTATTTTGAGGAAAATTCCAACTTAAGCGAATGGCTCTATTATAGTTTCCCAGTGCAAATTTTCTTACATTTTTTTAAAACGTCCAAAAAAAACAGTAGCAGTCAATATTGCTTTTGACTTGTTTTGTTTGCTAAGTACTGTTTGAACGTGTCGTTGCGAAATGTTTCTCAAGAATGCTGAGCTATGATCAAAAGTTTCGTCCTGGGCCGGTCTTGAACCGCATCCCCTCGCTTACCCGACAAGTGCGTTACAAGTTACGCTACCGAGGCACCGTTTGCTCTTATATATTCTACAGTCTTCGCTTTGGCCGAAAGTGGTTGCTCATGATAGTCGATTGTTCATTCTTTATGGAAGTAGCAGTTCGTTAATTTTCAATGATAGTAGAGTCTAGAATTCGCCCAGAAAGCTTGTGCAAAGGCTGTGGTTACGATACGCCTATGTAGGTAGCCTCTGTGATAAAGGGACGCAGGATAAGTATTCTATTATGTGCGCTTCATTTTGAGTATATTATATCAGTATAAAACGATCTCTTTCGGAATTCAGGCTCGCCGGCTCTGAACTTGGATGAGGTATGTGCGGGGCGGTTTCGATGTTTCTGCGTCAGTTCTGTTCACCTTCTTGACGTATTCTCATTGAACGAAACCGCGTTCGGAATGTCCCCTGAACGGCACGGACTAAAATCCAGTTTTCGCACCTGAATCGAACTCCAATTCATCTGCCTGTTTATATTTGCCGATTAGTTATCGGGTGTGGTGTAATTGCTAGTATCACTCTGGTTTATCTGTTAAGATAAGACAGTCTTCTCTGTAAGATGAAAAGGCCAGTGATGGACGCATTGGACGACGCCGCGATTCAGGACCGCACTGCACCCTGTCGCCGCTTTACCAGGCAAATTGCTTGAACTTCCCTATACGAACTTTTGGAAGGAGACCTAGATGACTCCATAGAGTCTTGAACGCTGATTACAAATATGGACATTAAAACTGCTACGTGAACTTTATAAGAAAGTTACGAGCATTCAAAGTTGGCAAAAAACGTTACTGAGGTAGGCTTACCTGATGGAATCACGCTCGCCGTGGCTCTGCGCTAAAAACGAGTATCAAATTCGTAATCAGGGCACCCACTAACCCTTATAGAACAAGAAACCAGACAAAAAGCATCCGTGATTTCATCAGGTGAGCTCGCCTCAGTAACGTTTTTGCCAACTTTGAATGCTCGTAACTTTCTTATAAAGTTCACGTAGCAGTTTTAATGTCCATATTTGTACTCAGCGTCCGAAACTCTATCGATGTTCATAGGTCTCCTTTCAAAGTTCCATGGGAAGTCAAAAACATTTCCTGGTTAGTGGGGTTATTTTCTAGGTGTCTTGCGAACCAAAGGGAATCGTTCACACGACTTCTGTCTAGATTGTGTCTTTGATCAAGGGGCTATTGAAAGCTTCGGTCAAAGCCTTTGAAAAGGCGACCGTACAATACGAAACGTGCAGGGAAGGTACGAATGTGGAATGGTCTGTTTAGTTCGGACCATTCACCGTGGCAGTGCGCTGATAGCATACATTATACGAAGTTATACGATATTTTGACTCAAAGTAACCATGCAGTACCACGATCGTTGCACTTCAACATAGAAAAGGACCGCAATTTTTTGTAGGCACTTGCAGCTCGCATCGTCGCTGTTTGAGAAAAATGTATCAGACATAGTGAATTCGTTCACTTACCGTAACGTATCTTACGAAAAGGGCAGATAGTGTATAGGTAAGTGGCGTGGTACGCCACGAGCGCGATTCTGCAGTCACATCCACACTCATATCTTACCCGAACCATCCAACCTCTCCATCCTCCGCGATCTCGCCTGGTATGATAACTTACTGACTGGCTGACTCTCGCAGGTCATTTAGGTCAGGTCAGGTACAGACTCAAACCCACTCCTACTCCTTTTACTACGACTTCAAGTGGAACGTGTAGCGCATTCCAGAAAGGGGGAGTGCTTAACACCGAATGCTCTATCCTTTTATCGGACCAGAATCCTTTCAGATGCGTCTTCTACATCTCGCTGTGCTTCATGTTCTATTCGATACCCTATCTGTTCCCAGTGGTCATGCAATATTCGGCTAGAGCTTGTGACAAGCTCATCAACGGGCAGACCTATTTAGTATTTTCTGGTAGGTCACTTTACTGCCGCAAATATCAATTTTTGTCAAAGTTGAGAATATTAAATTATAATTTGACTTATAATGTGCCTTCTTCATTTTAAAATTACTGGTGCATCTGAGACAAAGTAACGACCCCATAAACATTGACTGTCTGAGAGGACGTACTGGCTTACTCCCTTTATTATTTTCCTATTTTGTAACGACTGAACAAATTTGATTTCATTCAAAAATTTATGGGGGGAGCGGTAGTACCCCTGCATCTTACTTTGCGAACCTATTACTTGCCACTACATACTTTGACTCAACAGCTTCATCAGCTCTGCACAGCGCACTGAGTATGCCGCTACAACGAAGTCCGTTCAGACACTTCGCGTTTTCAGAGCGCTTTTGAAAAACACGAACGTGTTATTCTGCATTTGTTGTTCTACTCTACTATTGGCACAGCGCAGCTGTTTCTTTGGTGGTGTATTGTTCGCGGTTATACATGGTGAGCTTTTTTCTGCATAAGTTCCATTCGAGACCTATTCAACTACCGTATCCTCTGCGTTCAAATATATTGCATTAAAGACATTGTTTTATAGCAGTGTCCTTAAGTGTAATAGCTCCCTAGACATTATTTATTGGCGGATGTTCCATGAATGAAAAACATCTGAAACGATGATGATATAAAACCCTTCCAAGAGGAGGCTCATTCCTTTTCTTAGATGCTCATTTTGAAAGGCAGACTCATTTGAATGCCTCTAAAAAATGCCGAACTGAGCTAATCGGATTGATGGCAAAGGGTTTACAGCAGAATATTTCCGTCTAGACCTTACTTTTCGGAGTGTTCCGCAGGCCGGAACACCTTCTTCCTCAGCCTTCCTCTTGCTGAAACAAACCCTAACAGTTCCCACATACTGTTGAATGGGGTTTCGCTTGGCAGATAGTGGTCCTTATTCTGGTCTTCTGGTCCATGAATGAGAATGAAAATCGGCGCGTCACAAGATACAGGGAAGCAATGGTGACAACGCATTCACAAAGAGCCTATACAAATATTGCGTTTTCCTTTAAAATGCGACGTAGTCCATAGCGGTGGGAAACTCCCAGGTATGCGTGAGGTCTTATCCTTCAGTTTCTCCCGAAGTTCCTGCCCTCAAGCTCAGTCTTAGAGGATTCCCCCACCAGCGACGATAGCGCCTGAAGACCTTTTTTATTTATTTTTTTCTCAACCAGAGGTGGGGTAGCCTAAGAATGTGTCTAGAAGCAGAAACTTGTTTAAAGTCAAAAAAAGTTGTCATAGATTTGAGGAGATTTGCCTGCTTATCTCCTACTCAGAGGTTCAGAATACGGTTCCAGAATTCCATTCAGCCGTAATAACTTCGACTCATGGTCCTGGGAGAGACATTCGAAACAGGGCATAGTGGGTAAAGTTTATAAAACGCCGGTAGGTCACATTGGACTAAGCCCAGGAGAGGGGAGGAACCCGAGGGAGAATAAAGGTTATTCGACTATCCTCTTACGGTTCTCCTCCTCCAGCATCCCTTCTCTTCCGAAGGCTTAGTACCATGTTCTGTAAAGTGGCTCACTTTCGATGTCCTCCACCCTAACAACATAAGCACCCGTTCTTTTATTGAGATGCAGAATAGCAGATGTTGATGGAGAGGGTTCGAAAGGTCGTTAGATGATTCCTGAAAGAAGAAGAATTTTCTGGAAGTTGGTCAGTTTCTTTCTGCTGAGCAATACACCAGAATGAAAACCCATAGGCTGTATGGAGCAGTAACACAATCCCTCTATGTAGTTCCATGAGATCAAAGATCACCCAAATTTGGGTGCTATTTCTGTGCCTGGCGAGATGGAGTTTCTTTGCCATTAGTGTAATCGTTTTCGGCTAATGCGCCCAGCTCCGAGTAGCTCATGGAATTTGGCTCCGTGTAACGAGATTAGCGCCAGGCCGAGGATCGTTTATTGAATAGAGATTGGGGCGCTGCGGCGTGCACTAGGCCGCCGCTTGACTAAGAGGCCATGAGAAACATTGTTTCTTTGGCGGGTCGCGGGGAAGGGAAGAAATGAAGGCGAGGCTATTGGCAGTGGAGTACCAAAATTCTTGGTATCCTGGACCCTCAAGACGCTGAAAAGGTCCAACAAGCTTATGATTTTGAAATCTTTTCCTGTTGCCGAACTCTCTTGGAAACAAGAATTGTTTTAAACTTTTTAAAGGGTACCAGTTGGGAATAGTAGTCAAATTTACATTTGCGCACTTTCATGAGGGAAATGTATTCCTTGCTGTTATTTGAGCAATGGTCTACGTTCGTTCCAGGCTATGTAACTATTTTGGTCTCATCCAGTAGGGAAGAGGGGTGGTGGGGGAGGAGGCAAACGGTGCGACCGTTCATATCACCCGAAGAATAAAATTTCTGCAGGGGAACGAGGTTCCTGGGTGAGTGTAAAAACGGAAGCAAGATGATTTACGGCTCCGGGGACTTTCTCCTCCTGCAAAACCGAAAATTCTGAAGGCGGTAGCAACCCATTCTTCACTTATAGGATAAGACCCGTATTCCATTAATAATTTCCCAAATTGTTGCCAGAAGGTCTGCATGTCACAGACGAGAGTAAGGATGTGTGATGATCCCACTCAACTCTTTACCTAGACTGGGTGGTATAGCTCGATCGAGGAATTCAACGATAAAGGTAAACCGTAAAGGATAAAGCATTTGCCGTTGATCAATCCCTTTTTGGGATGCGGCACGCATTCTACTTCCATTTGTACATCGTAGTGGCGTTTGAATGCGATGTGGCCTATACAATGACTTGCGGGGGCCAGCCGATGTACAAGTCAGTGTTTTTATCCTCCCAGACAAGTCTGGTACCAATAACCCCGGAGGGAAGGCTTGGTTGGCCCGGGCGACTCACGACCCAGGATTTGATCCCCGGACCGCTCGCGTGGTAAGCGCGCCACTTGCCACTACACCACTTCCGCCCAAATTTGAAGATGCGATACCCTAACAGAGTTATTCCGCATTACTTGGAAGAATAAACTGGCTTTCCACAACTTTCAGTTTCCTTTGCAGCAAGCCCGTGAAACATAAAACTGCCAAAAATTGGCTAAAATGTGCAGGTTAAGGAAAATCATGAAACTGATGGAACCGCTTCAATCAACCCCAATCAATCGTTTATTTT